AGGCGTCCCTAGCGACCGATCTCATCTCGTCATCAACAGACTTTGACTCACAGCTGAGGCGTATTCCTTGGGTCTAGTGTCCTCCGATCTGTTCTGCAGGGGAGGTCCTCTTTGCCCAGATCCGAATTGAAAGAGCACGCCCGGGTCATGCGAGAAGACCAATCGACATCAACAGGGGTAGATCTATCAGTTCTACGAGTGAACGCTGCTGGGACGAAAGACACATGTTGCTCATCTGATTGACGCACAGATCTCTGAGTAGACGTGAATGAAGGTCTGTTAGATTCCCTGACAACCAGCTTCCCTCTCCTGAAAAATGCCACCTTACCCTCGCGACGAGCATCACTGGCTGCGTCACGCTGTCTTGCAGTAAGATCTGCAGCGACACGAATATTCCTACGTGAGAGGCACTCTCGTTCTTTGAACACAAGATCTTTATCGTCAGGATGGAGGAATTTAACAATGATTGCCCTACTACTGCCTCTATTCATGTCCGATGATTGGCGCCCTACAAGATGAGCTCTTAAAATGTCTCTTTCATTCCAAGTCTTAAACGGTATAGCTTCGTTGAGAACGTTAAGTATTTTTCCCTACTCACAGATGCGTATACTCCCTCGTCCTCTGGGATACTGAAGAACTTTATATTTTCACGTCTGCTATACGCCTCCATTCTGTTCAACTCATTAGTAAGGTTTGAAACAGTTCTCTCTAAAACAGTTATTCGGTATTCATTGTCTTTCACCGTATCGTTAGTCGAGCCCAGATCAAGGCTATGTTTGTTGATGTCATCTTTAGTCCACATGTGTCTAGTTCTAGTATATCTGTTTTCTTCTTTAATACGTTAACTGAGCATGAGAGTTCTTTTATTTCTGAACTTACTTTCTCCCAGTTGCTGTTAATAGTTTTAAGTTCCTGATCGATGGAGTCAAATTTTCCACCTACAAATGATTTGATTTGTTCGGATTCCCTTTGCATATGTTCTCTCATTTGATCGAACATTTTCTCGAAATCCAATTGATCGATGGGGCCTGGGTTACTCTCCACGTCGCCTGCTCGGAGTAGCAGTGTGTTGCTGTTTGTAAACAAACAGGGGGTCAAGGCCGTTCGGGATACATCTGTCATTTCAATTTGGGCTGGAAAAATCGGGACAAATGAATTGCCATCCTACCTCAGCTATGTCCTCGTAGTTGGTTACTAGTCCATGGCCAGCGACAAGCACAGTCTCCCACACTACAAAGCACAGTAGGAGTCGGTAGCTCAGCTCTGTACCCGTCGTCCATCGGGTGTCATGTCGGTAGGGTAGGATCGTGTCAATCTGTCTGCAGCCCCTCGGTGGTATAAATCGGCCGATTCGTGACCTCCACAGTTCCAACGTGATCCCCATGGTATCTACATCAACGTCTTCAGTAAACAACACGAACCACGTAGGAGTAATTGGTGTTATTTCTCCTTTCTTTCTCTCAGTTTTGAATGTGTGTGTGTCTATCCTTACGCATGCGCATGCGTTTTCATTACCAACAAAAGCAAATCCAGAGGGACACAGCATCCATGGATATTGATGGAAAATCTTAATGAGCCAAATCGTTTCTGGAAAACAGTAAAGGACATATTAAACAGTCGAAAAACTACCACCCATAAAAATAACATATCCATAGATACATGGGAGGAACACTTTTGTAAATTGTTCAATGATGGAATCGAGAATACTTCCACTCCACTGGAGACAGTCAATAGTAGTGATTATAATGATATTGATGAAGTTTCGAAAATGATTTTAAACAATGAAATAACTGAGGCAGAAATAACTAAGGCTATCAATGGTTTGAAGAGGAATAAGTCAGCTGGTCATGATAAATTAATTGCTGATTTTTTCATACATGGTGCTGGTGTCTTAACCCCAACTCTCCGTAAGCTATTCAACAAGATTTTTGACACGGGATGCATACCATATGAATGGTCAAAGTCTATTGTTATTCCATTACATAAGAGTGGACCGTCAAATGATCCAAACAACTATCGAGGGATATCACTTTTTAGGCATATTTAGTAAAATATTTACTTCAATCATATGTAACCGACTAAGAATGTGGACAGAGATATTTGATAAAATTGTTGAATCACAAGGTGGATTTAGATGTGAGTATTCTACTATTGACAACATATTTATTTTGATTGCATTGATTGAGAAACAAATAACGAAGAAAAGAGGGAAATTATATGCAGCGTTCATAGACTTTAAGAAGGCTTTTGATACGGTAAAGGAGACCAAAACTGTGGAAATTATTCAATCGCATCGGAATAAAAGGCAAGTTATTTCAAGTAATACATAATGTGTATAATGATGTCTCTGCTTGTGTAAGAAATAACAGCACGTATTCAGAATTCTTCAAATGTCATGTCGGTTTAAAACAGGGATGCATTATGAGCCCTTTGATATTTTCAATATACATAAACGAATTAGCGACTAGTATTGAATGTTCAGACTGCTATGGGCTACAACTTATGCCTGATCTTGTACATATATATTTACTTCTTTTGCAGACGACATTGTGCTGTTTTCTAATGTGGGTAAGGACCTCCAAAAACAGTTAAACATTCTTTCTTCATTTTCGATCGAATTTGGATTGAAAGTTAATATGGCAAAATCAAATATAATGGTATTCAGAAAGGGAGGTGTGTTATGTACAAATGAGAAATGGAACTTTGAAGGAGTTGAGTTAAAAGTTGTGAATAATTATAAATACCTTGGTATATATTTCACTCCTCAGTTATCATGGAAAAATGCTATTAGTAGAAGAGCCAAGGAAGGGAAGCGAGCTTTAAATAGTGTTCTACAGACATTGAATATGAACTGCACTATAAATAGCAAGATATTCTTCCATATTTTTATACCAAAATATTACCAATCCTAACACACGGATGTGAAATTTGGGAATACAAGCAATACGATGAACTAGAAAGAATTCAGTTAACAGCTTGTAAGAGATATTTACAACTGGCAGTTAAGACACCAAATTATGCTGTCCTTGGTGATTGTGGCCGCTTCCCTCTATTTGTTAACACTTTAGTAAGAGTCATTAAATACTGGCTTAAAATAAACAGGATGCCTGACTATAGATATGCCAAAACATGTTACAGAATGTCACTTCTTTATGATACTAACGGAAAAGTAAACTGGGTTACCAAGGTAAGAAACATTTTATGCTCTAATGGATTTATGTATGTATGGGTAAATCAAGGGGTGCAAAACATAAACTTATTTCTCCAGGAATTCAAACAAAGAATGAAAGATGTATTCATATCAGAGTGGTTTAATTCAATCAATAGTACATCTAAACTACATAGATACAAATTGTTTAAGTATAAATTTGAAACTGAAGAGTATATCAATTCAATACAAATAAATAAATTCAGGAGTATTTTGGCAAACTTTCGTTGCGGTACACTCCCACTAGAAATAGAAATTGGTAGGATGAACGGTATCGAGCGAAAAAACAGACTGTGTAAATTATGTAAATCAGGAGATATAGAGGATGAATACCATTTTCTTTTGGGTTGTCGATCACTTTCACACATTAGAAAACAATATATCGATGTCGGGACGATTTCTATAAATCAGTTTATTTACTAATGTCAAAAATAAATGAAAGCATTATTAGAAATGTATCAATGTATTTACATCATGTAATGAATTTGAGAACTTCTATATTATCCCTACAGATATGAATCATTGTACCAATTTGTTACTACACATATGAATATGCATATTTTACGCATGCGCATTAGGCTATTATATTGTATATGCATTCTATGTTCTAATGGGCTGTTGGCCTGAATATCAACTGAAATAAATAAAATAAAAAGAAAGGTTTTGGCATGTCGGTGTTTACTTGAACATGACAATTAAACATCAAAGCTAATTTGGAATTTGGACGGAAGATAATTAAGATAGGTATTTGGAATGTGAGTAATACCTTGGAAATGGTAATTACATATTTATGACAAAACCGTACATCCGCAAGGAAGTGACAAGAGTTGAGACCTGAATTGTGCTATTCTGTACTGTCACCAAAAGAGGACAAGTTTTGACTTGCTCAGTTGTAAGTTTGTTATTCTTTTATGATTGAAATGAATTTAGAATGTGTAACGTTGAACTTAGGTACAACATACACACCTCTCCAACTTTCACTAGATCAACGTTATGCAGATATTAATGCTATACTTGTGTTATTTCAGCTCGGTCTTATGCAAACTACACAGTAGTTCGTGAAGGACACAGTGCTTTCATTATTTGGAAGATGTCGTTAACTGATGAGGAGGTTTCAGTATTGGGCCCTGGTAAAAGACACATCTTTGAAATACACTTTCCTAGGGTCTATATCTTTAGAACCTACACCCTGAGAGTCAATATAACGAAGGTCACAACATCAGCTGACGCAGGCATCCTCCAGTTTTGGCTACATCGTGTAACATCAGAAGATGCGGGGAAATACTACTATTCCACACGGCGTAATGAGCCCATACCAAATTGTTCTCACATGTTGTATGTTCAAGGTAGGTACATTACTTCAAAATCTTCACCGGCGACTTACAAAGTTTCAAAATATTATGTCACAGAAAAAAACGTGAGGTGCATCTCAACCGTATAAGAATTCGTATGAAGTTGTTATCAGAGCTCTTGCTGATTATCTCTGTGCTTCTGCACAGCAGTCGAGATTCTAGTGTGTCTGACAGGACATTCCTCTCCATCAATCACTTGATTGTCTGGTTTGTTTACAGTCTGCCGTGTCATGGCTATAGTATTGATGTCAAGCAAACATAGATTCATTTGAGGCATATCTTATGACTGGCGGCTGCTACCGGTAGGGCAGGACATGCTTCCTCTTCTTTGTGAACACCTGGTGTCATCACTGTTGTGCAGGGATCCGTTCATACAACTTTCGCAGCTATTTCCCATTTAAACTAAACATATTTTGTAATGTCTGCCATTGTATCACGGCTATAGTTCTGATGTACTTCCATTTTTAGCCAAATTGTGTGAATGGTGGGGGCTACAGATAGGACAGCGCATGCTTACACTGTTTGTGAACACATAGTGACATTCATATTCTGCTGTCCATTCATATAATTTTCCGTAAAAGTCAAGAGACGGTATTAATTTGTAGTGACGTTCTATATTTAACAATTTCAATTTACGCCAAATGATATTATTTGTTACTAAGGAAAACAGGCTCACCCCAAAGTCAGGGTCATTGTCAACACCAACAACATCGTTTTGACATGCGAAACCAACTCTTCCATTGTACCCCTTGACCATGATCTTGCAAGGGTATACAAGTGGCAGAGAAACGGACAAGATGTTGAGACTAGTGGAGGTTCCACGCTTCAGGACAAAGCTTGGCTGTGACTGATGTGAAGAAAGAGGACCTGGGTAACTACTCATGTCAAGCTACAGAGGAAGGTCTCGCATCCAACTGGAGTGATACAGTCGATCTCAACATGCTAGCAAGTAAGTGCTGAATGCAAGAACCAGGCAGATACATTATAGAACTTGCTTGCAGCTGACCTTACTAATGTTTCATTATGTCTTCATGCACATGCAGATCCTCACTCACAAATATCTCATGTTCAGTCATGTAAAGATTCCATGAAGCTCACGTTTATCCTACAAACCTGATGAAACTGTCAATCAAAAGAATTCTGTGTAAAGGCAATTCAGTTAAATACGAACCGGCTCAAACAATACCTTGTGAGAGACGATACAATTACCTTCACGTGACACAACCTTGTACACGTACAAAAGTAAATGTTGATACGGTTTTTAGGATTTCAAATAAAGTACACAAAATCGCAGATGCATTTTTTCTAAAATAAAATATCTATATACATACGGTGAAAAGTTCAATGGAAATTCATTAATTTTGAAATGAATGAAATGTATTTCTCAATACTATTCACGAGGGCTTCTCGAATTCAGATAGCTATTTACAATACCCGGTTTATTGTGAACAGCACACACTGATAGTTTAGCTATCAGATGCTCATAAAAGCACTCATTTTAAACGGAACTACCGATTACCTACTGTCACGGCATGTAAATACGAACACGGCTAGGTTGGTATGATCTCAATTCGAATTTGTCCAGCTGTGAAGTGGATTTACAATCAGGATTGTAAGCATGATGCATGGTGAATTCACTAATGGCTACTTGTCACGATGTCCTCCATTTTTATGACAGTGTTACAGAAAACATGTAGAAGACATTGCCAAATCTGACGTGTCGGGAACACAAATTACAGAGCTCAAACAATCCATTGAGAGGCATGAGAGAACTAGTCATAGTCCGTTTGACTCAAAATCGGACCGATGAATTGCAATCTAACTAAAAACTATTACCTATAATACTCAATGAAACGCTGATCATAATCAAAACATCATACCAACTCTGTGAGTTTTTTGCAGACTTTATGTCCTTAACATAAAACATTTGATGAAAAACAATCATTAAAATATTGAAACAGTTCATAAGTTTTTACGAGGGAGGAGTGCTAAGAAAGGGACAGCCAGGTGTGCGAGAAAGGATGGAGACGGCACAACACAGGTAAATGAATATATAACTTCTCGGCACTTGTGCGCGTGCTTGCCGTATGCCTTGCTGTTCCTGTCTTTGTACTCTGTTCCTGTGTTTGCAATTCATCGGTCCGCTTTTGAGCCAAACGGACTATAGAAGCAGTCAAAAACGTTCCGTTTCAAATAAAACCTAAGGAAATGCGTGGTGCGCTGTTCTCAACAAAGCTCACGTGTTCCGGGTCGAAGTTTTTACACATTCTAAATAATCTTTTGAATTTAAAGAAAGTTTTAGAAGGTAACGAGATTCGAATTACTGTGATTCCATGGTATTGCTGTTTTGTGGTCATAGTCCATATATATTAAGAGTGCAATAAAAGCAGATCAGTTTGAAGAGGTGTACTCCTGAATGTAATATGCTACACAACGCCTTGCTGCTTACAAACCATGTGCTGTGCCCTGTCTTGGTACATAATGTGGCGACGTATTTTCACCCAGCAATCCATAGCTTGCGACTTGGAAGGTACCAACATAAGACCTTTGTGGAAATAAGGATTTAGAAGAAGTTTCATCTTACATGTGCCTCGACTTTTAATGTTCACTAATGTAAGCACTTTCTGCTGAGATGGATGTATTTGTGCCCGTGAAAGGAATACAAGATACAAGCCTAATGTTATTTTCGTTAAGCATGGAACTCAAATCTTTGGTATGACATGCCGAGGCGATGTCCTGAAGTATCTGCATTATATAACGTCAGTGATACCATAGTAGCAAGGATAAAGAGTTCCTCGAGTTATAACCGTAACCGTAACATAAATTGAAATATCAATTTCCATGTATGATCAAATACTACTTTCGATTTTAGGAAAACTGCTGGGTTAAAAATGTCAGCGCAAGGATAGAGCTTTTTCGTTTTCACTCTTATCAACCACGATGTCGTGTGAGTGTTACATGCACTCTAAAACAATTACTACGTCAGGTAATCAACGGACCTTAAACTGTTAGCCCTGGGACAGAAATATTACTTCTGCTCGTATTCACCACAATGTTCAATGAATCTATTTTCTTGATTTCATTTTCCCCAGAACCTGAAGTTGGAGAGCTAACAGTGAATGGAACAGAGTATATAACTGTGAAAGAAAATCAAGTTGTCGTCTTCAGATGCATGGTTCAGGATTATCTATCCCCAGCTGTATTTCTTATTCAGGAAAACAGCTTGGCATCAGTGAATATGTGGAAGAAACAACAGAATGTGTATGAACATGCTATGGTTGTACGGAAGTGCTCTCGGCTTGGGGTGTATTCTTGTAGAGCCACGAATGTTGCTGGTACATCAGAAGATGAACAACATACAGTTGTCTTGAAAGGTGTGTCGCCGTCTTAAAATCCATATGTCATGGTCATTCTTTTCAACATAGTAGAAGAAATTTAAATACTTACACCCTCAAACGCTTCTATTTCTCCTCCAACCATTCTCTCTTCGTTATTATATATACAGTAGGATAGATATATGATGATCACGCTGAAGCCTAGTGTTCGATTAATCACATGGGTACAATGTGTGAAGTACATTCCTGGTGTCATGGATGATAATATGAATGTACACATTTCCTTTCAGGAATGCCACGAAAAGCAGCATCACATGTTTTGTGACCAATGGAAAGACTCCTTCAATCGTCATCAATATTACGCTGTGTTCATACCCAGCACCATCGAAACCAACATTGCGTTTCACACAGTCAGGAAATCTAAGAGACATCACTGACCTGAAGAAGTGTCACCTGGAAAGCAAGAATATAAAACACAATGTATTTGAATATTCGCTCATGTCTTAAATAATATCACCGACGCAGACTTTGGGGTATACATATTCAGTGTGGAATATAATCACTCTTCAACTGATTTCATTATTCCTGCCTCCAGAATAACAGGTACGAAGAGGTTAAATCATATATCCACTTATAAATTATCCTGGATGTAAGTGAATCTCTAAAACATGCCAACTGGCAACTTTGTAGTTGCATATTCAAGTGGTGGTATTAAGCCTGTAGCAAATTATGTTGGTACACTTGCAGGTACTCCAGAATCGAGTCTTCCTCTGGTTGTCGGTTGTTCAGTCGTTGCTGCAATTGTAACGATGGTCATCATTGCTGGTGTGATAATGTCACGACTCAACCAGTTAAGAGGTAAGATAAATGCCGTTTCAAATAACAAATAATTTACACCATTACCCTTTGTGAGATATGATACTTGTGATATTTCACAACGGAAATCTGAAATGTAAATTACTATAAAACCATAGTGTTTCTAACAGATATCAAGAAAGCAATATAGAGATCATTTTTCAGAATATCGTGTACATCCGTCCAACCTTGATTTCGTGTTTTAATTATCTTCGAGCATTTTCAGTATTACACGTATTTTCATTAATTTTTCTCATGTTTCAGACTATTGGAACCTAAGGCAAGTAGTATATCGTTATTCTTCATTTGTTTGAACATTTCATATATAATAAAGTGTGATCGTGTTTATGCATGCATTAGAGAACGTTCTGCTAATCCCACTATAATCCATAGGTTTCGATCGTACATCACACCCATGCAGAACATGCCAGAACATATCGATGATCGAGAGTATGCTGAAATCGACGATGCTGATTTACCTGACGTGGCGAAGGCAGCATTGTGCAACCTGTTGTTAATGTCCCGGATGATAACAACATTCCACCGGCATGCAGTGCAAGTCACAGACTGGAACGGCAGCAGCTGGAAGGTGAAGATGATGAATATGAAGAGGTGAGACCACTGGACCCTATCAACAGTGAGGAACACAGAGAGGATCATGAAAGGAGACCTGAAATGTGGCAGCCAGACACGGATGAGATGTTCATGACATTATCTGGCTCCAATACTCATTCAGAACCCAGGATTGTAGTTGCTGATTGGTCGGCTGGTGGAAGAGAATCTGGAAATATGGCAGCAGCGATAATAAATCAGTCTGCGGAAACAAGCTTCATGACTCACGTACCTGATGAAACAGACACTGACAAGTTACCCACGGCCAGTGGAATGTATTTTGGAACAGATGGGGTGACGGCAACTGAGGCAGAAGCAACTGAGCCTTTGGTGGAATTAAGAGAGGATTTTGATGAAAGTGAACAGCATGATTTGCCTTTCAACAGATATGAGAGTCTGATGCCGCGCCAATCTCAAGATAATTACACAGCCTTGGACAAAGATGATGACATTATGCATGATTAGTACTCAAACATGTGTCACAAGCTACTGTGTAAAGCCTCTAAAAGAGGGAAGTTTACCCAATCAGAATTCAAATGCGAGACTTTTTCAATTTAATCACACAATGGAAGTAGTGTGTGCTTTATTATGAAAATAGATGCATAGTATTCCCAGACATTATTGAGAAATTTCGTTTCGGCAAATATCTAATACATGTATATAAAGATCACGGCTGTAGCTAGGCCAGTCTAAAAAGCTGAACATTTTCGTCCGACAACCACTGTTTTGTGTAGACCGCAGTGTGTTTTGGGTCGTTATCATGCTGGAAAATCCAATTATCTTCATACAGTGTTCGGGCCGTTGCAAGGAGGTGATCATTTAAGATGTCAAGATATCATTCCTTCGTCACATGTCCAGTGAAAATACACAACGGCGCCACTCCACATAATGATATCCCACACAACATGTGAAATTTCGGGCTATGTTTTGGGCGTTGATAGGTACATGTAGGTTTCACGGTATCTTTCGTCCAAATTTTCACCCAGTTCGGAAAAAGCCAGACAGAACTTTCATCAGAAAAGAAAACATTTTCCCAATCTTGGTTTTCGTAGGCCCTAAACCAGTTCAAACATCTTTCTTTTTGTGCATCTTTCATCAATAGTGAGGGAATTCTGCACTTTTTCACACAGTTAAGTCTGTGTAATTCTTGTCAGAGGGTTTCATTACATACCTAAGGACGTATTCTATTAATCATCTCATTTCTGATATTCTCAACGTTTTTCAAATTTCCCCTGGTCACAATCTGACCAAGTCGCCGGCGATCCGTAGTAGTAAACGTCTTTGGCCTCCCTGGCCCTGTCTTGTTCTAAATCCCAACTCCTGACTGTATATTCTTCAATGTTATTATCTGACGACTACAGCCCAAGGTTCGTCCAGGCAAGGCATTGTCCAGCATTAACCAAGCTCGTGGCACTCTCACGCTGGGGACTGTCTCACAGCATATTTTGAATTTAATTTCTGATTAAATTTGTAATATTCGATGCGATTTCCTGGTTAACAATGTCTGTGCGCTTGCAATCCAATAATGTGAGTGTCAAGTTGCTGATTTTATTGAGTATACGTACATGTTTCTATTGAACCAAATAGAATTTGCTCCGACATTCAGATGAACCCCAAGTGTTTATTTTTGGGGTGTTAATATGTTTTGCTATCACTACATGGCATACAAGGTATATTTTTGTAGCTTTGTTTACATGGAGAAAATGTGTGCATATGCGTTAACTGTACATAGTTTAACTATGACCAAAACATGACTTGTATTAAAGAATTGCTTTACGTTTTGTGTGCATTCATCGAAGGACAACTGTCACAAATTGTATAAAACCGTGTAAGAAATCCATTGCACATATACAGTGCTGTACTGAGCTGAGGCATGACGGGTACTCTGACATGTGTTACAAGTACTTCGTATGAATATACATCCGATGGGTACACACAAGTGTATCACTCTGTGTTTTTGTAATGAGTGCTTTGCGATAAGGCCCAGAGAGTTTATCATTTTGACATTCTTTTATAGCTCTCAGTATATATTCTGTGTATGTTTGTGTTGATATATTATAAACTGTATAAAATGTACACAGATTATGTGCCAAATACCGATGCTATTGTGGTTTGACCAGCAATTAGCAGATTGCTGTTTTACAAGCACTTAGAAAGCTGGGAAGAGGAGAATGCATACTATAAGTTGTATGCTTCTCTCGAGGGTAATACGGTCTGATGTACGCCTCTTTGTAGCAGTGTTACCCGAGCCGGAAGGCGAGGGATGACACTGCTACAAAGAGGCGTACCTCAGACCGTATTACCCGAGGGAGAAGCATACAGCGTATTTATCTTACTGCCATGTTAAATGTACAAAATATCATTTTATTTTATTTTGAAGATCGCCACTGACTATATGACATGTAAACAAAATGGCGTCTGCCTCTCGACTGGAATTTTAAAATCAGTGAAACATATTCTGACAAGCTTAAAACTGCTATAAAATTGTTAATTATGTCTAAGTTGAGTGTGCAAACGATTCAATATATAGAATAGTTTAAATAAAGCAGTGAAAGTCCGTAAAATAAATCTGTACATTGTAAACTCAAAAACAGCTAATCGAACGGCTTTCGAACTCCGGACATTGCATGCATCATAGTATGACGTCATACGATTGTTAGCGATACAGCTTCTCCGCGGAGAGTTTGGTGGTTACCGTGGTAGCGGGTAATATTTTTCCAGTTGTCACCCTCCTCCTGAGGGGTGACACGGAAACTTGTTAAAGCGTCATTGACCAATGAAATTAAAGTATTTTACATGAAGGTAAGATAAAGTTATCTGTCTTTATTGTAGACTAAGTGTTTTGTAGTCTTTGTTTAGATATATTGCAGATTGTTTATTTCTTCAAATATTAATCAGTTTAGCTTTATTTACAAATGTTCATGTATGTGTTTTAACATAATGAAAATGTGCTATTGAATACTAAAAGCTGTTTTAGTAAACTGTACATACCGTATATATTATCAGATGTTTTACTGTCAATTCTCCTTGACTGTATTGATTTTTCCATCACAAGGGATAGATAGATATTTCAAAGTCAAAACAATTAAGGATCTCTTTCATAATGTTAAGTGTCATTTAGTGACAATAGATAGATAAATGGTATTTTAAACATGGTAATATACATTAGCAACTGCGATTGTTCGTAGCTGTATCCTCGAAGAGGGTTAAAGTATCGTAAAATTATTGTCCTCCTGAGAGGGTACGTGGGTTAAATTTAAGCTTAGCAAATTTGTAAACGTAGTATATTTGTTCTCTTAAAGTTCGGTTTAATTTTTCCTACAACCGCCAGCGGCTGAAGGGATGGTGTAAATCGAACTAGGGTCCATGCAGGTAGCAAAGGTACTATAAGTACACATGGTCACTTGGGTGGATATCTACCTTCGGTTCTTGGCGATCAATAGCCTGTTTTTATATTGTATCGTCGTGTATAGTTATCTTCTTTAAGATTAAATTACAAATTTTAAAATTAATATATGTGATACTCTAGTTGTTTTAACTGTCCTTCGTTGATTTACTTTTTTATCATTATAAATCTATAATTTGATTTAGTCACGATATGGCTGAAATATTGCCGATGTGACTATACATTTTAACTCACTGTCAATTCTCGACCGTATTTTTATGGTGTTAACATATTCCTTTTATTATGCAAATTGTTCTCAATTACATGGAACATGATATTCCGCATTCATGATCCGGAGCATAACGTGTGTATCATTAACTCTCAAATTACAAACTGTTCAGAATGATAATACGGTGCGAGCTTTCGGAAATCTGAGTTTGAGAACGTTTAATTTGAAAAATATTCAAACAATGTAGTGAAACATTTACTTTCTCGTCATAAACACGCCGACGATGTAGATTAGTATAAAGTATCTTTTTACGAATTCTACAACAGAAATATGTACATTTAACTGATACATATAATTACATTTATTTGATAAATTATTTGTTTTGTAATAGTTTCAACATATGCCACAAAGTATTACATAGTCACTGAGAGAATTACTTTGTTCCCAAGTTAAAATTTAGTTTCAGCTTTCGATGATTGGGCAACACCTGTAACGCTGCATGTACTGATCTGTTTCATTATGAGAATGATTTCCTGTTTACATTTACATTACATTAGCTTTTGTTCCGGCTTGTATTCAACTGTGTATTTTAATAAATACTTTAAACGGTTCCTTGTATGTGTTTGTGTGTCAACGAAATTTGATTGTGGACCTAACTTGTCACCAGAAATACCAAATTTGTATTGTTGTCAACTTATAAGATACCTACGACAGTGCAACAATGTAAAACACGATTCTAACAAACCCTTAAGTGGCAGACAGAAAATCGCTTGACTCACCCGGAGACTAAAACTGGCATCATTCGCAACATTAACATTTCCGTTTTGATTCGCACATTGAATTTGGTAGAGTCATATATATAAAGTGAATAACATATACTATTAGATACACTCCGTCTAGTTTTGAACATAATAACCAGAAAACACACACACACAGACACACACACACACACTATGCACTATGTATCTTATATTCTTGAATCCTGGACGGAACAAATACTGGTAGTAGAGATGCATCATTTATAGCAGGGTTTTCTTTTTCAAACACAAAGAAACTACTGACTTATCGATCGTTGCAACTTAGTCAGTGCTGATACATATTCATTAATCTAATATCTCAAATTAAAAGATGAAAAAGCTGCCTAATTTTCATCAGATGCAGTGTTTTGCGTAAAACATTTTTGTCGTCTTTTAAATACATTTTAATGTAGTGACAAATGTAACTCTCGGATCAAAATATTCCGGAAACTGTTTCTCACTGACGCTACTCATGTGTACATTGAACCTACTAACGTTTATACTCAGGCTACTCACGAGTCTACTGAATCTATTCACGTTTATACTCAAGCTACCCAGGTTTATACTCAGGCTAACTACGGCTACTCACGTTTATACTCAAGCTACACGTTTATACACGTTTACGTTTACTCAAGCTACACACGTTTATACTCAAGCTACACACGTTTATACTCAAGCTACACACACATTTATACTCATGCTACCCACTTACGTGTACACTCAAATTACTCACGTTTATACTCAAACTACCCAGGTTTATACTCAAGCTACTCACGTGTACACCGGAAATTTCTCACGTTTATACTCAAGCCACCCAGGTTTATACTCAAGGTAAACACGTTTAAATTCAAGCTACTCACGTTTTTACTCAAGCTACTGACGTTTACACTCAAGATACTCACGTTTATACTCAAGCTACACACGTTTATACCTGAAGCTACACACACATGTTTATACTCAAGCTACACACTTTTTATACTCTTTTAAGCTACACACGTTTATACTCAAGATACACACGTTTATACTCAAGCTACACACGTTTACAGCTACACACGTTTATACTCAAGATACACGTTTATACTCAAGCACACACACACGTTTATACTCACTGCTACACACGTTTACACTCAAGCTACTCACGTTTACACTCAAGCTACACACGTTTACACTCGCTACTCACGTTTACAAGCTACTCAGCTCACGCTAACCACGTTTACACTCAAGCTACACACGTTTACACTTTACACTCAAGCTACTCACGTTTACGTTTCACGCTACACACGTGTACACTCAAGCTACTCACGTTTACACTCGTGTACACTCAAGCTACTCACGTTTACACTCAAGCTACGTTTATACACGTTTACACTCAAGCTACTCACATTTACACTCATGCTACTTACGTTTACACTCAAATTACTCACGTTTACACTCAAACTACCAACGTTTATACTCAAGCTACTCACGTGTACACTCAAGCTACTCACGTTTACACTCAAGCTACCCACGTTTA